GTCGCCGAGAAACTGGGTTTTGGGGATGTCAGCGTGAAAACCAACCTTGGCGTAATTGTAGGGATGGTGGTGGCCTATAGGATACTCTTCTATGCTGCTCTTCGACTCAGGAGCTCCTTTATGCGAAAGTAGTAGAGATTCAGGAACATGTTTCCTAAAGAGAGAGAGAGGGGGTGGGGGGGCGGGGGGGGGGGGGGGGGGGGGGGGGGGGGGGGGGGGGGGGGGGGGGGGGGGGGGTGCGCGATGAGGCGGAGGTGTACAGTAACTTGTTTCGCCCCTGGTTGTATATGGGAACCTCCTCTGGATAGGTCTTCTTCTGAGGAGATCCAACATGCGACGGAAGTAGAGGAGTCAGAGGACATAGGAGTTGTACAAATTCTTAGCTCCTTTATGTCACATATACAGTATTAACTTAATCAATGGCGTCCTTGATGGCCATTAATTTGTTTTAACAGCAGTTACTTTGAAATTCGTTTGTGAGAGGGAGTGCAGTAGCAGTGGTACAGTGTGTCGGGGAGCTTAGGGATTCGACCCAGCTATTCGTTTGGGCTGCAACAGTTAGTATGTTCTTGGCATCCTACGTCACGAAGTTTGCCAGGGGTATCGTGGCTGACGAGAAGGCATGAAGAATGTGCTCCTCGAGTGCATGGTTCAGCATGGCGTGCGAAGCAGGGGGGTTTGTGGCGCGCGATGGGTCGCTGGTTATTAGGAATTAGGGCCGGATCCCACTGGCAAAGAGGATTGGAAGAAGTGGGTGAATCTGGACGTGTTCCAGGTAGAGGTGCAGAAAAGTAGATCAATCACAAATTTTCGCACCTGTCCGCAAACACGGCCACATTCAGACACTTACTGCAATCCTCTTTGCCGGTAGGATATCGCCCTTAGTTGAAAGGTAGGGAGGGAGCTTTTTGGACTGGGCAGGGTGGCTTCGCCCGGTTTTGTGTCCGTTTCTTTTTTTTTTTTTTTTTTTTTTTTTTTTAACTGATCAGAACGGATACTACACTTGATCTTAGCCAAAAGGCCGAGACAGGTATAGTGTTGTCTCTTATACACATCTAGATGTGTATAAGAGACAGCGTGAAAGCGGCGCGCGTAGACATGCTTATCGCGATGTTGGGTCTTCGCGAATGTGCGGACACACGGATAGGCAACGAGCAAGTCCGAGGGGTATCAGGGGGAGAGAGGAGGCGCGTCTCCATCGGTGCGGATCTGATCCATGACCCCGCCGTTCTGTTCCTGGACGAGCCGACGTC